GGCCAGAGCTTGCTCCGGAGTTCCTGGGACCAAGTGTTCGCCGCCTTCTGGCAGCGGTACCCGAATCCCTATAGGTACGTGGTGTTTGGGAGAGCAAAACCCCACCATCTCGCTATTTGGAGATCAAAGTATGGATAATCCCCGAGTAATGGGACCAGAAAGAAGTTGACATCTAATCCTACGTAGACCTTATCGGGGAAGCGGCCAGGCCAGGCCTGCAAGGTCCTGAAGGGAGGTTGGGCCTGGGTGGTGGTTTACTTGATATCTTAATATAAGGTTCTTTTCTCAGGGTCGTGAGACAAGAAGGGGCGGCAGTAGGGGAGTTGGGAGGGATCTTGGGGTCGGAAATCCTATCCTCTGCTCGTGGCACTTTCCTGAGGTGCAGTAAATCATGAGGTCTATTGCTGCTGGAAGGCCCAGGAATCCAGGTCAGCCAGATGGCGGGAGTTGGAATTTGCCCTGGGATGGGCTCTTAACTCTGGTGTGAACCATAACACATACAACTCTGCAAGGTTACAGGAAGGCCTCTCTGGGCTTGGAGATTCCAAACGGGAATCCCCTCGGGCAGTCTCGGGGCAGGCTCCTGAGTGCCACCTTCACTGACTCCTGCAGCAAACATGTCTTGACGGAAGACATAGTACACCGGGAGGTGACCCCTGACCAGAAACTGCTGTCCCGGCGACTCCTGACCAAGACCAACAGGATGCCTCGCTGGGCCGAGCGACTGTTTCCTGCCAATGTTGCTCACTCGGTGTACATCCTGGAGGACTCTATTGTGGACCCACAGAATCAGACCATGACCACCTTCACCTGGAACATCAACCACGCCCGGCTGATGGTGAGACACCTCCTGCTGTGATCCTGCCTCCCCCACCCCCAAATAGAGCTCTTCAGATACGTGTGTCTAGAGAGCCATGAGGGAGCTTTTGTGGTCTGAGGCAGGTCTGGGTTACTGAGGAGTGACAGCTGTAGAGTATGACCTCACATTTTCTTCTTTTCAGCTGGTCAGCCTCTCTGGACCTGTCTGACGCATTCATACAGTAGGGGAGAGGTACCTCTCTTACTGAGTTGTCCTAAATTCTAAATGCAAAGCACTCCCATCAGGTATATGGCACAGAAGTGATGCTGAGTGGGAGAGGCAGTGGTTTTCTTTTTTGTTTTGTTGTGTTTTCTGGTGATAGAGTCTCACCCTGTCACCCAGGCTGGAGTGCAGTGGCACAGTCTCACTGCCACCACCACCTCCTGGGTTCAAGCAATTCTTGTGCCTTAGCCTCCTGAGGAGCTGGGTTTACAGACATGCACCACCACGCCTGGCTAATTTTTGTATTTTTAGTACAGACTGGGTTTTGCCATGTTGGCCAGGCTGGTTCTGAACTCCTGGCCTCAAGTGATCCGCCCGCCTCAGCCTCCCGAAGTGCTGGGGGGATCACAGGTGAGAGCCACCTCACCTGTGGCTTGAAAACCAGCATCATTGGTTTTCAAACAGGAGCCCATCAAGCCATAAGGTACTTTGGATATGTCTCTGGAAGAGGCTTTCAGCCCTTTTTCTCACTTTGACTACAGGAGTTTCACTGTTACTTGTCTTACCTAAATGGATTTCTGCCTGAGATTTGGGGAAAGGGTGTTCCATATACCTTTGATCTGTTGCTTTTAAGAAACTTGTTTTTTACTTTTTGAGACAGAGTTTCGCTCTTGTTACCCAGGCTGGAGTGCAATGGCGCAATCTCGGCTCACTGCAACCTCCGCCTCCTGGGTTCAGGCAATTCTCTTGCCTCAGCCTCCCGAGTAGCTGGGATTACAGGCACGCGCCACCATGTCCAGCTAATTTTTTGTATTTTTAGTAGAGACGGGGTTTCACCATGTTAACCAGGATGGTCTCGATCTCCTGACCTCGTGATCCACCCACCTCGGCCTCCCAAAGTGCTCGGATTACAGGCTTGAGCCACCACGCCCAGCCTAAGAAACTTTTTTTTTTTTTTTTTTTTTGAGATGGAGTTTCGCTTATGTTACCCAGGCTGGAGTGCAATGGTGCGATCTTGGCTCACTGCAACCTCTGCCACCTGGGTTCAGGCAATTCTCCTGCCTCAGCTTCCTGAGTAGCTGGGATAACAGGCACGCGCCACTGCGCCCAGCTAATTTTTTTTTTGTATTTTTTTTTTTAGTAGAGACGGGGTTTCACCATGTTGAGCAGGATGGTCTCGATCTCTTGACCTCGTGATCCACCATCCTCGGCCTCCCAAATTGCTGGGATTACAGGCGTGAGCCACCGTGCCCGGCCGAAACTTTTAAACTTATGGTTTAAGGAATATCCTACAGTATCTTCTTATATGTGAATATCCTGAAAGCTTTCAGCGAATTCTCTTTCTCAGCTTATTGTCCCAATAACCTTGAGAGGTGGATGTTACTCTCTTGTGAAGAGATAGAAATGTGATTCATAGAGGGCAGTGTCCCACAAGGTCTGAGAGTGAGTGGGTATCTTACTCTGCCTGAGAGTTATCTGAAGTCATCTCAGATGGTTACAGAAGAGCACCATGTCTGTGTTTGGTAAATTACTAAAATAGTGTTCCAGATGCGTGAGAGAGGTCTCTTAAGTGTTTTCCTGGAAAGAAATAAGAAATGTTCAACTTTTTCCTATCTGATAATGAGAAGTGTGATGATTGTCATTTTTTTTTTTTTTTTTTTGAAATGGAGTCTCCTTCTGTCACCCAGGCTGGAATGCAGTGCTGCAGTCTTAGCTCACTGCAACCTCCACTTCCTGGGTTCAAGCAATTCTGCTGCCTCAGCCTCCCAAGTAACTGGGATTACAGGCACCTGCCGCCACACCCAGCTAATTTTTGTATTTTTAGTAGAGATGGTGTTTCACCATGTTGGCCAGGCTGGTCACGAACTACAGACCCCAAGTAATCTGCCGACTCAGCCTCCCAAAATGCTGGGATTACAGGCGTGAGCCACCACACCCGGCAAATGTTTGTTTTTATTTGGACCGTCAGGAAACTCCAGAGCTGCAGCGGGTGGAAGGCAGGTTACAAACTTTGCATGTGTCTAGAGGCATGAAAACAAAATCCAGGAGCAGGATGGGCTGGAAGGCCCTTTGCTGATCTCAGGAGACCTTGTGCCTTCCAGTTTTAAGGGTCAGAAGAGAGGTTTTTGAGAGCAAAATGGCCTTATTTATGGCTTCTTGCTCTGTCAGTACCACTTGGGAGTGCAGTTAGTGGAAGGAATGGATTTTCTTTTTTTTTTTTTTTTTGAGACGGAGTTTCGCTCTTGTTACCCAGGCTGGAGTGCAACGGTGCAATCTCGGCTCACCGCAACCTCTGCCTCCTGGGTTCAGGCAATTCTCCTGCCTCAGCCTCCCGAGTAGCTGGGATTACAGGCACACACCACCATGCCCAGCTAATTTTTTGTATTTTTAGTAGAGAAGGGGTTTCACCATGTTGACCAGGATGGTCTCGATCTCTTGACCTCGTGATCCACCCGCCTCGGCCTCCCGAAGAGCTGGGATTACAGGCTTGAGCCACCGCGCCCGGCCCTGGAATGGATTTTCATTGTATTGCTTCCCCTCATGAAAAGAGACAGGCAGCCAAATTTATGTGCTAGTCGGCAAAATGGAAGACTGTATCACAACTGTGGTTGGCCTGACTCTGCATAGGTGGTGGAGGAACGATGTGTTTACTGTGTGAACTCTGACAACAGTGGCTGGACCGAAATCCGCCGTGAAGCCTGGGTCTCCTCTAGCTTATTTGGTGTCTCCAGAGCTGTCCAGGTGAGCAGTGTTGTGGGGGCTGCTGGGGCTCTGGGACCCAGGGCTTTCGGTATTGGGGCTGGGATCAATGGGCAACTCAGTATCCTTCCTCTTTTCATCTTTTGCCAGGAATTTGGTCTTGCCCGGTTCAAAAGCAACGTGACCAAGACTATGAAGGGTTTTGAATATATCTTGGCGAAGCTGCAAGGTGAGTTTCTGGGTATGTGGAGATTCCTCATAGGGAGACGCTCACTCGGCCTAGTGAGTGTGAGTCTGGGTTAGTCATTGCCTTGCTCTGAGCTGGGACTCCTCGTCTGTATTGGGTGTGGGAGGAGGGTGAATATCACCTTTCTAGTGGAGCCTGGCCCAGGGAAGGTTGGTGTCATGGGGGAGGGAAATTAGGTGGGTCTTTCAGGCACCCTCTGAAGCCAGCCACCTGCCCTTTGCAACAGGTGAGGCCCCTTCCAAAACACTTGTTGAGACAGCCAAGGAAGCCAAGGAGAAGGCAAAGGAGACGGCACTGGCAGCTACAGAGAAGGCCAAGGACCTCGCCAGCAAGGCAGCCACCAAGAAGCAGCAGCAGCAGCAGCAGTTTGTGTAGCCAGCCTAACACCACGACAGCACCCCAGACAGCTTGGCTTAGCCCCTCTACCCTCCCTCCATTGTACTATATCATTAAAAATCAACTTCCAGCCCTATCTACTGTCTGGGTGGTGGGTTGAGGGTATCCAGTTTGGCATCCACAGTACACTAGGCACATTATCCAGTCTGAGCCAGTTCTGCTTATTTTCCCATTGGGCAGCTGAGGACCCAAGCACACAGGTGCAGTGACTTGCCTCAGGCCCCAGGTAGCCTGCAGGTGAACTGGCGATAAATGCTAGACTGGAAGCCCCACAAGGGCAGGGCTCTTGGTTTTGTTCTCTGATGTGTCTCAAGTACCTGGAAAAATATCTAGCACATAATAGGCACTCAATAAATACTTGTTGAATTCAGTCAGTCCTAGCTCTGGAGTTGGAAAGCTTTGCTTTGAATCTTGACTCCATGTTTTTGGACCTCAGGCAAGTCACATCATTGAGCCTCATTTCCGCCATCTGTGAAGTGGAGATAGAACAGTCTCCGAGTTGTGAGGATTAACTGCACTGACTGGCACAGCCAACAGTGTCAGTGATGGGAACTGATCTTATTTCCTCTTCCAGTGGGTTTGTGGTTGCGAGTTCCCCCATTTTCATCAGGTAAGACTATGGACAGGGGAAGTTAGGAAAGAGGCTTTTAATGAAAATACTGTACAGTTATGTGAGGCAAAGGCCAGGGGGCCTTGTCCAAGAAGGGAAGAGGCTCAAGAGGCTTCCTGTCCCCTTGGAGGCAGCAGAGCCAGGTGCTTGGGCTCAGGCCCAAGCTGCCTGCCCTGCAGGGGTTTAGGGAGGTCCTGATGAGTCCTGCCTCTTCCAGAGGGCCTGCCTGGCAGCCAGCAGCAGGGTGTGGGGGAGCACCTGTTCCCACACAAGGGTCCTTTTAGTCCATTCCAACAGGTGACTCCTAATAGCCCTTAAGACTTGGGGAGAGCTCCTCCCTGGCAGGTGGGCCTGGCACGAGCAGAGGGCAGAGGCCCACCCTGGGTGAAGAACATCATAGCCAGGCGCCGCTGCCGTGTGAGTAGCTGTGCTCCTGGCCCGCGATGAAGCCCCGTAGCAGCTCGGCCTCACCCCCAAACACCAGGCTCTCCACATCCACCTCCAGCTCCTCTGCACAGGGAGGGGTCCAATCAGAAGACCTGGCTTGCCCCGAGGGCCACACAACCCCTCAGCCTTGGGGCACTCACCTTGGTCTGAGTCTGACCGCTCGGAGGAGAGGCCTGAGGAGTCCAAGCTGTCCGCCCGTAGCCGTTCCCGATCGGCGGCCCCTGCCAATCCCCGGAGCTGCTCCAGCTGCCGCTGTAGGCTCTGCTGCTTGCTGCGCAGCCTCTCCTTGAGCTGCCGGGCCCGCTGCTCCTGCTCCTCCAGTTTCTGCAGATCTCAAAGGAGCAAGGGGGTTGGGGTCAACGGCCTGGGGGCTTGAGTTGCACCCCAACACCACTCAGTACTGGGCCACAGCCACAGGGCTGATGCCTACTTCAGGCATGTGGCAACTAACTCCAGGTCCCCGAGGGTTGCACCCACATCCTCCAGCAAGCAAGCCCCTTTCCCACCATGCAGGCGGCCTGTGAGGATGCTGCCTAGATTGGGGGTGGGGAGTACCACAATCTCAAAGGCCTTTGAGGCCTACTCAGGGATAAAGGATTGGAGTGCTGCAGTGTCCAGCGGTGGGAACTGGGGGGCAGGTGCACTGGTGTGTGGACACTCTCAGGTGCCAGGTATATTGCTGTCACAGGAAACAGGCCCGGTGCTACCAGATCTCCCCATTTCTTTTTTTTTTTTTTGAGACAAAGTCTCAAGTCACTAAGGCTGGGGAGCAGTGGCATAATTTCCACTCACTGCAACCTCCACCTCCTGGGTTCAAGTGATTCCCAGCCTCAGCCTCCCAAGTAGCTGGGATTACAGGCGCCTACCACCATGCCTGGCTACTTTTTTTTTTTTGAGATGGAGTTTTAGCTCATCACCCAGGCTGGAGTGCAATGGCGGACCTCAGCTCACTGTAACCTCCGCCTCCCCAGTTCAAGCGATTCTCCAGCCTCCTGAGTAGCTGGGACTACAAGTGCATGCCACCACATCTGACTAATTTTTGTATTTTTAGTAGAGATGGAGTTTCATCATGTTGGCCAGGCTGGTCTTTAACTCCTGACCTCAGGTGATCCTCCTGCCTCGGCCTCCCAAAGTGCTGGGATTACAAGTGTAAGCTACCCACATTTCTTCACGAGAAGCTGTAAAGTCAGATTTTTCATGTGAAATGTCTGTTGAGGGGTTGAAAACTAATTTACATTTTAAGAAAACTACAGAACAAACAAAGGCTACCAGTTTGTAACTCCTGGTCATGATCCCTCAAGAGTGCAAAGGTGTTAGCACCCTCCCTCCCCATCCCCCTACCTCCCGTCAAGCTCTGCCAACCCTCAAGTTCCAAGGAATGGAAGGCCAAGGGCTCTCCCAGACAGAGCCCTCAGTGGCAGAAGCTTACATTCGTCACTCAACAACAAGGGGAAAATTGGGCCATAGGGCCATTTGGACTGGGCCTAGAAAGAGGAGTAAGAGCTGCCGCGGCGAACATGGGGAGGAAGAAACGTTGAGGCAGAGGGAGCCTGGGAAGAGCATGGAGCATTCAGCTTCTGTGGGGAATAGGGAGAGGTGAGGCCGAAAGTACAGCCTACTAGCAAGGCCTGGGTTATGAAGGGACTTGAGATTCACAGGAAGTAAGGAGCAGAGGCTTTGTCCTGTCAGGGGTGATTGGGGGGTTTTCAGCAGGAGATGGGTCTGGGTAATCTGTGTGCTGCAGAGACCATTCCAGAGCAAAGTAGAAGACAGCCTGGTGGAGGCAAAACAGGAAGCAGGAAGGCCAGGAAGAGGCTGATTAATTAGTCCAGGAGGGGGGTGATGGAGCCCCAGAAAAGGAGCATCCCCAGGTCCTGCCTACAGGCCAACCAGCCCCTGAGTGGCACACATCATCCATCCGAGAACCAGGCCAGGCAAACTCCATGTGAGAAACTGAGCCATTAATCCAACCAGTGTTATTCAGCCACAATGATGGTAATAACAGACACCTGGGGGGTGCAAAGCTGTGGTTTATTTGCTGACAGCACATAGGTCTATGTGTGCCACAGCCCCCAGTGCCTAGAATAGGGCCTGGCAGAACCAGGGCTCAATACTTGGAGGAGATAATGCAAGCCAGGGACCTCGGCATAGATCCTGAATCTGCCTCCCATTAGCTGTGCGACCTGGCCCTCAGCCTAGCTGTGCCTCCATTTATTCTTCTGTCAGGAGGGTCAGGAGGGCAGGAAAAGTCCTGTGGTTTCCAAGACCACAGGGCTGCCAGGGCCACTGGGCCTTTATTCAGCACACTCATTCTTGACCACCAGAGGGCACTGAGCTCAGCCCCAGAAGCAGCAGGGGTCCTGGGAGTGACTGGCATCTTCTCAGTCCCCTCCTCTCAAGTCGTTGGAGCTGCCTCCCAGGTGGCACCAGGATAGACTGCCCATAACAGGAGGCTTTGAAGGATGGGAGAGCAGGAGAGCAAGGACCAATCTTCTACAGTCCCAAGGACCCCCACATACCTCCCATCACAAAATTCAACAGCCATGCCCTCCCATCAAACAGGAGGAAAGGTTAGTCCAGACGGGCTAAGTGACTTGCCCAGGGTCTCACGGCTGAGATCTAAGTGATAACAGCTGTAACAGCAGCAATGAACATTTATAGAATGAACTCGTTTAAGCATCAACAACCCTCTGAGTTATTGTCTGCTTTTTTTTCCCCCCCATTTAATGGATTTGGAAAGTAAAAGCTCAGAGAGCAGTCCCAAGTCACACCTCAGGCCTCGTTCCCCAGTCCCACCAGCCCCTCCATAGCACAGCCCTCCATAGACCAGGGCAAGCCAGTCCGGCACAGCAGGGGGCTTCACCTGGATGTGCATCCTGGCACGGCGCAGCAGGCTCAGTGTGGTGTATCGAGCACAGTCAGCCCCCAGGGGCATCTGCTGTTTCAGCCGCTCCAGACACCGCTTCAACTGGGCCCTCCTGTTGGGGAAGAGGTCTGGAGGGCAGTGCCAGCTCCATCTTGCTGGCCACAGGAATGGCAGGGGATGGAAGGTCAGAGGGAGGTGGCCCCTAGGGGCTGGCGCTGTCAGGGCAGGGCTGGGACTCACCTGCGCTTCTCCAGTTCATTGTGCACAGACCTGCCAATGCCAGAGAGGATGGGGTGAGGGGGAATCAGCTACTGCTCATGCCCTCAATCCCAGGCCCCCAGTGGCCAAGAGCCACTATAGATGTCTGCCCCAAACAAGCCCCCTGTGAAGACTTCATGCTGGCCTCAGACACCAGAGTCCCCTGGCAGGGTGAAGGGAGTCAAAGACACACAGAGCCAAATGCTTAACAGAAGCCTGCCCGGGGAGGTATGGAGGTCCTAACAAGGCCCCCTACCAGCTGGTCAGGAAGGGCTTCCTAGACAGGTGACAGCTATATGCAGAAACAGAAGTTTCCCAAGCAGGTAGTGGAGGGAGAGGCATTCGAATAGGAGGGAACAGTATATGCAAAGGGCTGGAGAGAGGAGAGAAAAGGAGGAAGCCAGTGGGGGAGGTGAGTGGCCTGATGCGTGGAGTGCCAGAGTGCGATTGGAATTGGGACCGCCACTGTTGTTTGCAGTTCCTGGCACATCTAGAGGTGCTCAAGAAGTCCTTGAACGAATAGAAAGGTGTGAGTGTGTTTGGAGAGTGGGGAGATGGCAGGAGGGGTCTGAATGCTTCCTGGAGCAGGACACCTGGCCCAAAAGATGCAAGCAACAAGTGGACAGAGGAGGGCCCGACCGGGGGCGGCGCCCACCCCACCCCCACTCCCGCCGCCCCGACCCTCCTCACCGCCCGCTGTCCTGCGCGCCAGGAGCCTGGGGAGGTCGCTTCTTCCTCCTGTGGATAGGGCCGGGACTGCGGTGCGGGCACAAGGACGCATAACCATGCTCGGCCTCTGCCAGAGAGAGCCCCCGCCCGCGTCAGGCTGGGGCTGGACCGGGTCCCAGCGGGAGCCCCAGGCACAGCACGGTTCAAGAAAGACTTTTGGCGCCAGGATAATTTCCCCAGCCCTCCCTGCTCTACAGCCCCGGGGTCCTCTCGAGTTGAGGGCGGAACGCCCCGGGGTTACTGTCCTAGGCCATGCATCCTTTAAGCCGGAAGCCAGGTCCAGTCCAGGGCCGTGTCAGCGAGGTCGCCGCCCGGAATCCAGCCAAGGGTTCTTCCTCACCTCTCTCACGGCGCTCCAGGAACTCGGCCGCCTGCAGCAGGACCTGGATGTTGCTGGCCACGGGTTCCATGTCCGCGACAGCTGGCTGCGGGCCGGCCTAGCGAGCCGGCCAGAGCAGCGGCTGCACCACTTTTGTTACAAAGTAACTGACACGGTGCAACAAACACAGAGGCCCGCCCCGCCCCCGGGATGCCCCGCCCCCGGGAACGCCCGGCCCTTGCCCCCGCCCCTCTGAAGCCCGCCTAGGAGCAGCAGCCCGCTGTCCGGCAGCCGCCCCGCTCCGAGTGGTCTCGGAATCTCCAGGGGTAGGTAAGGGCGCCGGCTGTAGGCCTGGCCCTGGAGTGAACCCTCAGCCTGACGGTTGCTGCTTCTTGCCAGCTTCTCTCATCCACCCACGCCGGCTCATTGGCGTGTTCGATCTCAGCTTCCAGCTAGTTACTATCCCCGCACTTAGCAAAGCGCTTTGGGGGCCAGACGGTCCCCTAGAGGCCCCTGGCCCATCCGCTGCACGTGGGCGCCGCGGGGGCGGGGCCTGCCGGCCGCCGCTCACCCATTCGCCCATGGCCTCTCGAGGCTCGCTGTCGTCATTCTAGGGGCGGGGCCGGAGAGCCTCTGATGCCTTATTGGCTGGCGCTCCACCCCGCCCTCTCCCGCCGCTGGTCCACACGTTCCGGCGGGAAAAGAAGCAGGTTTCAAATTTGAAAACCCGAGCGATGGGGCGGGGTTGAGCGGGGAGCTGAGCCGCAATGCGCAGGCGCCGGCTGAGGGGCCGCGGACCCGGCTCCTGCGCTCCAGGATCTGCCCCCACGCCTGCCTGCCATCTGCCCCCACGCCTGCCTGCCATCTGCCCCCAAAGGCGCCCATGGGCCCCAGTTTCTTACTGCGTCGAATGGGAATAATCTCTCGGCCCCACCCCTCTTCTGTGGGGACGCTGTTGTTGCTACGAAAACGTCAGTGGGGTAACAGCTTCCCAAGGCAGACCATACCCTGGAAGCACCCGAAATGGCTTTTTCCGGAGCCCTGGGTTCTGGTGTCCACGGAGTTGGGCTCCTCTCTTGTCACTGATGTCTCAACTGTGTGTGACTCTGGAAGTAACCTCCGTCTCTAAGCCCCGGAGCCCTAAGACAGCGTTGAAGGATCGGAGCCAATGCCTTTGCAGTGCCCATGGCATGAAGGAGCCGCACATCTCAAAGGCCAGTGCAACCAGAGGCCAGCGTTTGCCTCCCAGGCAGCCCCTGCTTGCCTTACTCAGAGTCCATGAACCCTTCTGGAACCTGACTCTCCTAGCCCGCCGAAGGAGTGGCTGTGGTGACTTCTAGGCGCAGTACCAGTGGGTGGGGACAGATGAAAGTAGCTGTAGCAGGGTGGAGCATTACTGGCAGCTGTGGGCCGAGTCTGTGACCCAAGTAACCCCAAAATAGAGAGGGGAGAGAAGTGGGGGAGATAGATGCTTTGTAAAGAGACAGTCCTGGTAAATACCACAGGAACATGTCAGGCCTCAGTTCCTTGGGGGAAAAAAAAATTTTTTTTTTTTTTTAGTCTTGCTCTGTTGCCCAGGCTGAAGTGCAACAGCTCCATCTTTGCTCACTGCAACCCCCACCTCCTGGGTTCAAGTGTTTCTCCTGCCTCAGCCTCCCCAGTAGCTGGGATTACAGGACCCCACCACCACACTCAGCTAATTTTTGTATTTTTAGTAGAGATGGGGTTTCACCATGTTGGCCAGGCTGGTACTTAACTCCTGACCTCAGGGGATCTACCCCCCTCTTGGCCTCCCAAAGTGTTGGGATTACAGGTGTGAACCACCATACCTGGCTGGGAAAAATCTTAAAGTTTCTCTAAGAGTTGCTCATAGAGGAATGACTGCCTGTCCAGGCAGGACTGCTGCCAACGACGATCCATCTACCCGTCTGCTTATCCTTCACTCAATGAGATACTCGCTGAGCACTCACTGGACACCAGATGCTGTGCTTGGGACTGGAGGACATACAATGGGCAAAAGCACACAGGGTCCCTGACCTTGCAGAGCTCATAGGCTTGAGGGGGAGAGACACCAATACAGTCGCAGGAAGGTGGAGGTCCAGCTGGACAGGTCCTCACAGGGAGAGACCTTGCCCATGGCACATTCTAAGGAACATTTGACCTAATCGGGAGGTCAGAGAAGGCTTTTCTGGGGAAATGGATGAAGAGGTGTTATCTAAGTATAGGAGAAATTAAAAAGAATTCTAGACAAACAGCACATGGAAAGGCTCTGGGGCTGAAAGGAGCGTGTTAGGGGTGGTATGGTTTATACAGAGCAAATGGCCTGGTGCAGGCTGACAATGGGGAGGTGAAGGGCCCAGAACATGCTGATGGGTTCCCCCAAACTCCTGCCTGCAATCAGCCATGTCTGAAGGAAGGAGTCACAAGGCTTGTGAATGAATTTCCAATTTTATTTCACGAAAGTCAGCACCACCTGGTGCAGGCATGAACCTCCTCAGACATCTAGGTCCCAGGTGGTCTGGCCTCCAGTCTGGGCAGGATAGAGGTGGGGAGGTTCTGAAGGAGGAGAGTTATCAGAAGAGGCAAAGAGGGAAGCATACATTAGCTGAAGACATGGCCAGGAGGTGGTGGAAGTCAGGCTGGGCCTGCAGAGGGGCTGGAGTGCCCATGTCAAGGAGCCTGGACTTCATCCTAGGAGCCGCAGAGCAGTTTCGAGCCAGGGACAGCATGCGAACTGGGGTCAAGGCCACTGGCCAGGGCCAGACAGGAACAACACATCCCAAGGAACAGGGCGGGACAGGGCGTGGGGGGATCTGGCCTGGACCAGCGGGGCTCCCCGCCTCAAGCCCTTGCATGTCCCCTGCACCCCTCTAAGAAAATACTAGAGCTAGTGGCCTCTGCACAGGACTGGGCAGAGGAACTCCAGTGTCCCCTCAGCAGTGAATGGCCCAGATCCTCTGCCCTGGACTCTGCAGGGTCCTGTGCTATGCCCTGTGACCTCCCATCCCACCCAGCCCACCGTAACTGGGGCTCTGCTCCCCATACTTGTAGTGCAGGCTTTACCACGGACTACAGTTCTCTGGGTTCCAAGAACAGAGTCTGCATCTGTGCCCTGAGTGGGAGGGGAGAAGGGAGACCACCACCCCATGCCTTTCTCCCAATCAGGACCTCTTGAAGAGGGCAGCCAAACCTGGGCTCACCGTCCTCCTCCACCCCATGGACAGGGTGCAGGAGGAGATGGCTCTGCGTTCCCCAGATCGCTTTCCCCTTCTCCACTACAGGGGAGAGTCGTGGTGGGGAGTCGGGAGCCTGGCGCTGACCCTGGACCTCTGCCCAGCCTCCTTCCTGGGCTGCCCCCAGCCTCCCCTCTCCCAGAGAGCCGCACTCTGTAGTCACAGAGCTGACCAGGTCACGGCCCCACTGAAGGACAAATGCCCCTGCTGAAGGCCCACTCTCCCATGGCCTTCAGGAGAAAGTTCGAGTTGGGCCGTATCCCTCCTCCTGCCATGGTAGGGGACATGCCATGCCCTTGCCCACCTCCCTGCCTCTACCATCTCGGCTCAACGTCACTTGCTCCAGGAGGTTCCCAGGCCTCCCTCCTTCAGCACATCCTCCCAAGCAGCAGTGGGCTCTGTGTCCCTCAGGGTCAGCCTCTTCCCACAGACCATGACCTCAGTGTCAGAGCAAACCAATGCCAAACAGAGGCTTGGCCAAGCCGTGGGCTAGGGGTAGGGAAGGGCTGGTGGGCCTGTGTCTCCATGCCCACAGGATGTCAGGGAAAGAAGCAGTCAGCAGACCCCCACGCAAGGCTACCTCTGGAACGCCCCCCAGGCTGTTGCAGCAGTGCATCATAATGAACAAGATTCGGGTGCCAGCCAATCTCTCACTTAGTGTCACAGGGGCTAAGCCATGAGGCCAGACCTGGCTAGACAGGTCTCCGAAGTGCCTGGCAGCCCCTGCTCTCCTAGGTGGGACGCTGCAATCAGGCCTCTGTAGGATCAGTGTTATGGCCACTTTATCTTTATTTTTATTTTTATTTTTTTTGAGGTGGGGTCTCGTGCCTCCACCCAGGCCAGAGTGCAGCAGCACAATCAAGGCTCACTGCAGCCTTGACCTGCTGGGCTCAAGCAATCCTTCTGCCTCAGCCTCCAAAGTAGCTGAGACCACAGGGTCATGCCACCATGCCTAATTTATTTTTTGTAGAAATGGGGTCTCAATCTATTTCCCAGGCTCGGTCTCAAACTCTTAGGCTAAAGCAATCCTCCCACCTGGGCCTTCAAAGTGCTGGGATTACAGGTGTGACAGTCCCAGCTTCTTTTTTTTTTTTTTTTTTTTTTTGAGATGGAGTCTCACTCCTGTCCAGGAGGGAGTGCAGTGATGCCATCTTGGCTCACTGCAACCTCCACCTTCCAGGTTCAAGCGATTCTCCTGCTTCAGCCTCCTGAGTAGTTGGGATGACAGGTGCCTGCCACAATGCCCAACTAATTTTTTGTTTTTCTTAGTAGAGACAGGGTTTGACCATGTTGGTCAGGCTGGTCTCAAACTCCTGACCTCAGGTGATATGCCTGCCTCGGCCTCCCAAAGTGCTGGGATTACAGGCGTGAGCTACTGCACCTGGCCAAGTCCCAGCTTCTTAAGGTGGAAATGTGAATAATTTACTTTATTCCTTCTTTTCTTATGCACTACTTTTACTACAGTCCACACACTTTGATGTGGTTCTGTTTTGATTCAGATAGATATTTTCAAATTCCCTTCAAAATTTTTTCTCTGATTTGTAACCCATGAATAACTTGAAGTGTGTTCCTTAATTTCTAATATTTGGGAATTTTTCAGATATCTCTTTGTTATTGGTTGGTAATTTAATTCTGTTGGGTTTAGAGAATATACTCATGATTTTGATCATCTGAAATTTATGAAGCCCTGTATGGCCCAGTGTATGACCTATCTCTTTTTTTCTTTTGAGATGGAGTTGTGCTTTGTTGCCAAGATTAGAGTGCAGTGGCCTGATCTCGGCTCACTGCAACCTCCTCTTCCCATGTTCAAACAATTCTCTTCCCTTAGCCTCCCAAGTAGCTGGGACTACAGGCATGCACCACCATACTCAGCTAATATTTGTATTTTTAGTAGAGAGGGGATTTCATCATGTTGGCCAGGCTGGTCTCGAACTCCTAACCTCAAGTCATCCACCTGCCTTTGCCTCCTAAAGTACTGGGATTACAGGTGTGAGCCACTGTGTCTGGCCTGTATGACCTAGCATGTGACCAAACAATTTTTATATCCTTACTAATTTTTATTGTCTACGTATTCTACCAATAACCAGGAGAGAAGTGTTAAAATCTCCAACTGCAGTCACAGAGTTATCAATATATCTGAGTTGTCACATTTTACGTTGTATATTGTGACACTCTATTAGTAGGTACATATACATTTGTGATTGTTATATCTTCTGAGGACTTTATTTTTTTATAGTACGAAACATCCTCTTTATCTTTGGCAATCTCCTTTTCTTTCAGACGGCATTGTCTGGGCTGGGCACTGTGGCTCAGGCCTGTAATCCCAGCACTTTGGGAGGCTGAGGTGGACAGCTCACTTGAGGTCAGGAGTTTGAGACCAGCCTGGTCAGCATGGTGAAACCCCGTCTCTACTAAAAATACAAAAATTAGCCGGGTATGATGGCAGATGCCTATAATCCCAGCTTCTCAGGAAGCTGAGGCAGGAGAATTGCTTGAACCTGGGAGGCAGAGGTTACAGTGAGCCAAGCTTGTGCCATTGTACTCCAGCCTGGACAGAACAAGACTCCGTCTCAAAAAAAAAAAAGACTGCATTGTCTGACATTAACCTAGTCACAACAGCTTTCTTTTGATTAGTGTTTGTGTGCTCTGTTTTTCTCTATCTTTTTACTTGTAACCTGTTAGTGTCTTAGTATCTAACAGATTTTCTTGCAAATAGCGTATAGCTATTCTGGTAAATAGCTATTTATCACAATTCTTTTTTGGTCTAATAACCTCTGCCTTTTTTGTTTTTGTTTTTGTTATTTCATCTTTATTTCATAATCATAAACTTAACTCTGCAATCCAGCTAGGCATGGATGGGAACAAGGAAAACATGGAACCCAAAGGGAACTGCAGCGAGAGCACAGATTTTAGGATACTGCGAGCACATGGGGTGGAGGGTGCTCTCCTGAGCTACAGAAGGAATGGTCTTGTGGTTGAGATAAAACACAAGTCAAACTTATTAGAGTTGTCCACGGTCAGCAATGGTGATCTTCTTGCTGGTCTTGCCATTCCTGGACCCAAAGCGCTCCATGGCCTCCACAATATTCATGCCTTCTTTCACCTTGCCAAAGATCACATGCTTGCCATCCAACCACTCAGTCTTGACAGTGCAGATGAAAAACTGGAAACCGTTTGTGTTGGGTCCAGCATTTGCCATGGACAAGATGCCAGGACCTGTATGCTTTAGGATGAAGTTCTCATCATCAAATTTCTCCCCGTAGATGGACTTGCCACCAGTGCCATTATGGCGTGTGAAGTCACCACCCTGACACATAAACCCTGGAATAATTCTGTGAAAGCAGGAACCCTTATAACCAAATCCTTTCTCTCCAGTGCTCAGAGCACGAAAGTTTTCTGCTGTCTTTGGAACCTTGTCTGCAAACAGCTCGAAGGAGATGCAGCCCAAGGGCTCGCCGTCGACGGCAATGTCGAACATGGTGGGGTTGACCATGGCTGATACTACAAGGCTCCAGGTGGCGGCGGCGTCTGCAAAGCCTAACCTCTGCCTTTTAGCTGCATGTAGTAAAATTGTTTTAGAGGCCGGGCACGGTGGCTCAGGCCTGTAATCCCAGCACTTTGGGAGGCAGAGGAGGGTGGATCATGAGGTCAAGAGATCGAGACCATCCTGGTCAACAAGGTGAAGCCCCATCTCTACTACAAATACAAAAAATTAGTTGGGCATGGTGGTGCATGCCTGTAATCCCAGCTACACGGGAGGCTGAGGCAGGAGAATTGCCTGAACTCATGACATTGCACTCCAGCCTGGGTAACAAGAGCGAAACTCCATCTCAAAAAAAAAAAAAATTGTTTTAGTATGGTGGGGTTTGTTTTGTTTTTGTATTTGTCCCATCTGTCATTTACCCTTTTTTTCTCCTTTTCTGACTTCTGCATTTTTTTTTTTGAGACAGAATCTCGCTCTGTCACCAGGCTGGAGTGCAGTGGTGCAGTCTCAGCTCACTGCAACCTCCACCTCTCAGGTTCAAGCAATTCTTCTCCCTCAGCCTTCCAAGTAGCTGGGATTACAAGCGTGTGTCACCACACCTGGTTAATGTTTGTACTTTTAGCAGAGATGGCGTTTCACTGTGTTGACCAAGCTGATCTTGAACTCCTCACCTCAAGCAATCTGCCCACCTCAGCCTCCCAAAGTGCTGGGATTACAGGTGTGAGCCACTGCATCCGGCCTTTTCTATCTGCTTTTGATATTGTCTCTTCACCTTTGGTTTTCAGCTGTCGGCTGTGACATACCTGTGTGTGGTTTTCTTTGTGTTTGCCTTGCTTGGGGTGTCTTGAGCTTCTGGAAAAATTTTCAGGTCTTATCTCTTCAGATATTTTTCCTGTCTTATTCTATCCCTACTCTCCTACTCTAACCCCAATTTTATATATGTTGCCCAACTTGTTAACATCTGCAGGGTCTTATTTTGTTGCCCAGGCTGGAGTGCAGTGGCATGAACATGGCTCACTGCAGCCTTGACTTCTAGGCTCAGGTGATCTTCCTGCCTCGGCCTCCTGAGTAGCTGGGATTACAGGTGCACAACACCATGCCCGGCTAATATTTTGTATTTTTGTAAAGATAGAGTTTTGGCAAGTTTCCCAGGCTGGTCTCAAACTCTTGAGCTCAAGCAGTCAGCCCTCCTCGGCTACCCAAAGTGATAGGATTACAGGTGTGCACCACCTTGCCTGACTTTTCCTATTTTAGTCAACAAATGTTTCACTTGCCTATTCCAATTCTTCATCACAGCATCACTATGGGGAGGATGTCTCTGCCCACTGCTGGACATTGTGTGCTGTAAAACGTGTTCCTTGGTCTGAAGAAATATGACCTGGCAGTCCAAATTGGTGTATCTTTGGTTCCAGTCCTACTGTGCTGTGAGCATTTGCATCTGTCACAGGGAAGCTGAGCCCAGTGTGCAGAGGGACCATCTGTTCCTCCTATGACTTACTGATGGCCTCCTGGGGCTATAGGCTTCAGTCTGACTTGCCCAAAATGTACAGGCCTCCCTGGTGAGCCTCCCCATAGCCGTCGGCAGCCTCTCTCTCTCTCACTGGCAGACAGATAAGTTACTGGCATTTTGTGCCTCAGAGGGTGCGAGGGGAACATGTCTAGACTCAGCCCATGCCTGCAGTGCAGCAGCCCCTGTGTGTCCCTCATATCATAGAGCCAGGTGGCCTCCTTAAGTGAGCACAACAGGATATCCACTGGTTCCAATCACCTCCTGATCCTGGAATGGGGTTCTTCTGATGCACATCAAATGTCCTACTTTAATGTACCCCTCCAATTCCCATAGTGATGTCACAGACCCATGCCCCATTCAGGCATCCCACTAATAGGCCAGTTCTCCATTGCCCTTCTGCTGACCGTGTGGGCAGGTTGCTCTCTGCCGATGAGATGTAGCACAAATACCAGTCAATTCAACCCATGGAGCTGATTTTTTTTTAACCTTCTTTGATGGTCTTCCAGACAGGAAGCTGTCCCGTCACCTTGAGACTTCCATCCTTAAACCCAGAGGCTCTTTGATGGTCAGTAGAGAGCTGCAGATAGGGCACTGCCCACGTGGCCCATGAAACTCCTTAGGTGGCTCCGAAGTTGCCTGTGGGGGAAAGAGGCTCCCACTCTGGATGGCCTCCTTGCATTCATTCCCCAGACGGCACATTCTAGAAAATTAATTTCCAATTTATCATGAACCCTTCCAGGCACTGCCCTCCTTATCAGAGTATTTCTTCAACATCACCCAAGAAATTACAAGTATTTCAGGTTTCAAGGTTATTTTACATCCTTAAGTTATAGGGGCAACTGGACTTTAATTAAATCCAATAGTAAGTTAGAATCGTCTCTCAAATGGAAATTTCCTGGTTCAGAATCCCAGTGGTTGCCACTAGGTGGCACTCAGGCTTTTGCCCTCAGCTCCAGGCTGCTCCTCAGGAGGGCTATTGTACAACAAATTAACAACTTGCATGGCTTAGGCCATCTTACTGGTTTCCATCAAGTATATCCAATCAATATTGGCAGGTGGGGAGATGTACATGCCTTCTGCTAAGTAAGAAACTCCTCAGCCAGATCCGATATCCACCCTGATAGTACATTCAGGAAAAGGAGCTGCATTCGCTTTGCATAAAGCCAGCTCAACCCTCCCAATTTCCATTCCCTCAAGTCTCATATTCCTATTTTCTCCAAATCAAACTCTTGCTCCCATTAGGGCTTCACAAATAGATTTTGGAATCACAGTGCATGGGGGTTCCACAAAAAGGTGTCCCAGTAAAGTCTCCTGCAGCCCCTAACCATTTTACCCCATGTCCACACAGCCTTGGGTCCCCAGTGGATGTCGGTCATTATCCTGATTAGATTGTGGGACAATTGCCCCAGGTGACTACCTATCAGCTTTCTTCTTGCCATGTTTCCCTCTGGCTTTTTTTTTTTTTTTTTTAAACGGAATCTCACTCTGCTGCTTAGGTTGGAACGCAATGGCACAATCTCAGTTCACTGAAACCTCTGCCTCCCAGATTCAGGTGATTTTCCTGCCTCAGCCTCCTGAGTAGCTGGGATTTCAGGCACATGCCACCACGTACAGCTAATTTTTGTTGTTGTTGTTGTTGCTATTTTTAGTAGAGATGTGGGTTTCATCATGTTGGCCAGGCTGGTCTTGAACTCCTGATCTCAGGTGATCCATCTGTCTCTGCCTCCCAAAGTGCTGAGATAACAGCCCAGCCTCCCTCTGGCATTTTAAAGTCCTCCAAATGGCTGGGTGTGGTGGCTCATGCCTGTAAGCCCAGCACTTTGGGAGGCAGAGGTTTGTGGATCATGAGGTCAAGAGTTCAAGACCAACCTGGCCAACGTGGTGAAACCCCATCTTTACTAAAAATACGAAAATCAGCCAAGCACGATGGCAGGTGCCTTAATCCCAGCTATTCGAGAGGCTGAGGCAGGAGACGCAAGGTGAACTCAGTGGCAACAGTTGCAGTGAGCCAAGATCTTGCCATAGCACTCCAGCCTGGGCAACAGAGTGAGGCTCTGTCTCAAAAAAAAATCCTCCAAATTAGGCTGAATAAATCAGGTTTGTTTAGAGCCTTCCAATAGTGGGGGACAAGCAGAGGCTCCCATCTGTCCCCCAAGGACTTCCAAGGGTGTTGGAGTAACCTTTGTTTTGACCCCATCAGTGTCTACTTTATTCAGCCCATTTCATAAGACGCATTTAAAGATTGCCATCCTGCTGGGATGAGACTCTTCCCTTTGTTTTCCCCATTCTCTTGTGAATCATTGTAACCATCTTCACTGTTGTTTCAGCATAATTTTTCCCTTCAATAGTGGCCCTGGGAATAGCTGTAGCTCAGACCAGCCACAATCCAAGCTTGGTCCAATCTCAGGATCTGCCCTATCACTATCTTTTGCCTTTATTGCTGCTACAGAGAACAACAGGATGGTATATTTAGCTTGTTTCTTGTTACTTTGCATTTCCTTATACATCTACTGAACTAACTCCTTGGGCGTTGGACCCATCATTTCTAAAATTGATTATTAACTTTTGCTTCTAGTAACTGATCACAGCACAGCTGTATTTCCATACCATGGTGAACTCATGACCCTCCAGGAATCAAAGATTCATCATACTCTGTCCTCTCATTCAATTCCTAAAGATAGTAAGTTACTCACCTACAAGCATGCCTTTCATATTCAAACCAACCAATCATCTGCTTTACTGGGCTCTTAAACGCTGAGCCACTATCCCCCAGAGACTCGACAACTAGGGATATCCAACCCCAAAGCCACTGAAATTATTCAAGCTAGGCAATTCTAGACCTGCTCACTCTGTCTCTCAGGTTCCTTCCCAGGCAAACCACAATAAAGGCTCTTGCCCACAGTTCCCCTCCGTCTCTCTGCCTCCTGCCCAACCCTGGTGCTTCCCCATGTGGCCCGTGTTAATGTGTGGTGCTGCCTGTTTCTAGAGAACTGAGAGCATAAACTTCTTCCTACCATGGCAGTCATTTCTGTGTCTGTTACACCATACCTGATGAAAACAAATCCCCAGTGTCCTTACAACAGCTGGCGCAGTGAGCAGGGTGGACTGATGCCAGGTGAAGATGCTATGTCCTTAAACTGCTCCTGGCTTACTAACTGGATCCACCAGGCAGCGGCCATTGCCTAGAAGGCAGCCCTGGTCATCTGTGTGCCCCCATTAATGGCTGCTGCATTGTGAGGTGTGTTGTTGGTGTTGCTGCAGATTCCCAACCTGAGGGTGGTACTCAGGAAGCTGGGTCCTCCTGGAGCTGCTGCCCAGGCTAGAGTGTTCGGTGTCTCGGACTCAGGCCACAGGGCACTCAAAGTCTTTCTCCATGCTGGTGGAGCACCCAGGTGCCAGGACAGAGCACCTGGAGGTATACAGGAATCTCAACTACATCAGTTTCTTCAAAAGGTCCTTCCAAAGACAAGAGAGACTACGCTGCTAGCATTATGGGATGGGTCTAACCCACTGACCAGGCAGCACTGGCAAGAGGCAGG